AGAAATGAATTATTAAGAATAATGCCGAGAAGGATATAGATCTAGTTTTGAAACTGAAATCAGAGAAATGTATAAAATAAATAATGCTTTTTTGTAGGTGAAATTTTAAAACTGAAATCCAAATAATGTTGTTTTTTTTAGAAATAATGCATTGTATGTTATAGTTGTGAAATCCTAGAAATTACTTTTAGAAAATGTATTTATTTATTTTATATATAACTCTTGAGATTTTAAGTTTAAGATTTGTAAAGGTGGAATGTTGCTTTGGTTTACAGATCATCTGTATTTTTTTATTCTGATATAGACCTATATAATATGTCAAAATGTTTACAAAGCCAGTTACGTGTTTCTCATAGTGCGTATATAATTATATAAAATCTGTTTAGGTATTGGTGAAAGGGTTAGATTTGTTTTTGGAGAGTAAGCGAGCTAATTTAAATGTTATAAAATACAATGTTATTAAGGAATGTAGTGACTCACACATGTTGTGAGATGTATTTGTATAGAAATGTGTTGTATCCGGTGAAGGTTTTATTACAGTAGCTTTGTATAAACGAATGGATTTGTTAAAAATAATCATTTGTATGTGAAGCAGAAGTAGTCGAAATATCATGGACCCAACTTGGAGGAATCGCCCTAAAACCGAGTGAAATGGAGAGATGTAAATGTGTCCCTATTTTCCACAAGGGGCCAAAGGAATGATGATGCTGATGCTGATGTTGTTAATGATGATGATGATGATCAGGGACATGGCTACACTTGATGTAATGGGATGGCGTGGTTTGGTGGTAGAGCGCTTGACTGCTAGCTCAACAGTCTCGAGTTTGTATTATTTTTACTTGACATAAATACAGAACATTACAAAAATGTTGAACGAAGTGGCATAAAAGTAAACAGCTATCATTACCCTACATCAATAACCTCCTGAGTACATTTAATCAACTTCTAATCAATATACACATTCTAGAACAGTGGTTCTTAACCTTTTTGGAGGTACCGAACCCCACCTGTTTCATGCATTCACCGAACACTTTATAAGAGTTCTATGATCAGCATTGACACATTACAATCGTGAGTCGGGTGTGTGTCTCGAACTCCGCCGATCCCCTGAGACTCACTCATCGAACCCCAGGGGTTCAATCGAAATCAGGTTAAGAACCACTGCTCTACATTGCAAAAGATAAACGTGTTCAGAAAACTGCATTTGTTATAATTAATGATGTACGTAGATATTAATGTTTCTAAACTAAACAGTATTACACGTTTTTTAACATGATTTGGGTTGTTGTGTACGCGATGTTTTATGTACCCAATAAACAATAACAAAATTAAATCAGAAACTGTTTCATTTACAAAATCATTGTTCACTGTTCAGTATTCAACATCAAGTTCTAAAAAGGCTAATAATATTCTTCACTGGTGTATTTTATTCAAAAGACTTGTGAAATGTAACTCCAAGTTTTCAGAAATGGTGTTGGAGGGGGGGGGGGGGGGGGGGAGAATGGTTTATAGTTACAGTTTAAACTTGATTTATCACAAGATGTTGTTTAAAAAAAACATGCATGCATCAGACGGGAATTGCACCCGGATCGCACCCTAGAAGAAAAACAGATTACAACGCAGATGTATAATCATTTGTTAATAGTGATTAAATAATAAACATTTTTATTTCTTTTAGATGTCATCTATAAATGACATTAATCTTTTTGGACGATTTTTACCTGCCTCCGTCACAAAAAATGACGTCACACTTCAGCCTTCAAACGCCTTCACACGTACATTGATTTTTTCTTAATACATCGGTATGTTTTCCAAAATCCTGTCTAAACTCTGTCAAAATAAAGTATTCTAATTAATTTCTATTACGATTTAAAAAAAAAAGTTTTCTAAAACAAGAAATAAAGTAAAAAAAATATTTATAATTGCGTCAGCCGGAAATCGAACCCGGATCGACTGCTTGGAAGGCAACCAAGCTGACCTTTACACCACCGACGCTGATACATGTACCAACTTAGCAGTAGCGTACGCAGAGGGGGAGCAGGGGGAGCGGCCGCTCCCCCTCTGGCCATTTTCAGCAAAGTGGCGCCTTTTTGGAAACTTTTTAAACTCAAAGTTTTAAACAATGATATTTGTTAAAAAATATTTTTGGTCGGCACATCTATGTAAATCACAAGATTTCTTTTCATGCAGCAATTAAGCATTATTGTACTAGTCTAGTACTGTCTACGTTTACAACACGTATTAACAGCTGCATCAGTTTGCCATTCTAAAAATAACCATTACGATGCATTGCAATGTTCAAAAAACCTACACTTTAGTACCACTTGGCAAGAGGGGTGTTAAGTTTAAGGCAACTGGATAATGTATTTGCTTACGAATAATTGATTAGAAAATATTATACATAAAACTGCACACATAATTACTGTATATATACAGTTTGAATCGTGTGATTAATTTTTTTAAAAATTACAATACAGAAACAAATGCACCTCTATTTAAATGGACCCCTCTGTAAAAAAAATATTGTCATAATACCACTGCTACTTATTTAAGTCTATTTCTATAATATATATTTGTGTAATATATATTTGTGTAATATATATGTATGTTTAGAACAGTCATCTAAAAACTGACGGTATGTTCACTCTGAGTTGGTTATCCCCCCCCCACCCCCCACACATACCTCACCACCACAATTGTGTAGAGCGACATTAATGTTACCCCTAGGTATATACTGGGTTGGATAATTGACCTAAAGTGACCGGACAGTGGTGAATGAAGTTGAACACCCCCCCCCCCCCCAACCCACCCCGAACTGAACTGTTAAGTACATGTAGAAAAACGCGTAATGATGTACCAAAGTACCATGCCGCCAGAAAATTAGCTTTTTAAACGTAAAACTCTGTGAATAGTGAATATGGTTTTTGCAATTACCAGTAAAAGGTGTGTGATCAATACAGTGATCTAACCCATACCTATCACTATGTTTAAAAATTATCTTTAAAAAACACAAAGAAGCAATAGTTAATTAAAATATATGATCTGAACTAAAAGACCGATATTTAGTTAACTTTGGGTAATAAATCTAATTAAATCGAAAAGCGTGGTTATATACCAACTCTGATTTTAAAAACGTTCATTATGCTGCAATACTGTAGCATTTATGATAACGATATATTAAATTCTGATTATAGACAAAAACGTTTTAAAAAACGAATAGTGTTAAACAATTTCATTATATTCTAAAGTAATTATTTATTTGTTTTGACTTTGACATTTATAATTAAATGTGTAGATATATACATATTTATATTAAGAGAGTGATTATTTCCCCTATTTCACTTGTCTTAAGTAATTTCCCAGGAATTATTATGTAAGAATTTTTTTTACAAGAATTACAAAACAGATTGTGTTACGTTCATAGTTTTTGGTTGTAGTGTGTGTATATATATATATATTTTAAATTGATACAATTTTTGTTTTGTAGGCCTACATTGTGTTTTTTATCTTATTTCTTCTGAGTGCTACTTTCAATTTATGTTACATCATAGCGAAGTAATGACATACAGCTAGTATTATGTAAATATATATATATATATATATATATATATATATATATATATATATATATATATATATATATATATATATAATACACGTATATAGAACGTGTTCAAAATTCGGCGCCTTTTTTTGCTCTTTTCGCTCCCTCTACAACGAAAACCTGGATACGCCTCTGCAACTTAGACTTATTTAAAATTTCGATTGGACAGCGGTTTAATTGACGGTGATTGATTTGAAGATTGACCTGCTAGGTGTCACAAGTCAGTGGAAACCCCCTGAGTCCAACCAGCTCTAATGGGTACCTGACTCACGATAAGGAAGCTAAAGGCGGCTGGGCATAGAACTGAACACATTAAAGCTTTTAAAATGTAATAGACCTATCATAACAATCATTTAAAAATATAAAACATGCGACTTGAATAAAATAAGGCACTGAATTTAAAAAAAAAAGATAATGTAGTTCATATTTCCTTAGTATTAAAATTTAAATCAACAATATTTTGATAGGTAAACCAAAAAATTCTATTAAAAAACCATTCGTAACATATACTCGTAAATTAGCCGTCTTTGTAACAAAATGAAAATAAAACAGACAATAAAATTGTAATAATTTCTAATAGGGACATAAATGATTTCTTAAAATATCTGCTAATGAGACCATAAAACATCACATCCATCTAACTGAGCGAGGTAAATTGTCTTTAGCATAAGGGGTATTTTCCTGACAACACAACGAATGAGTTCAATGATTGCCTAACTTCGAATAAATGTATTATCTCCCATGTTTAAATATAACCATTTTAATTAAAGGGAAGCTCAAATGTATTCTCGATAATATTTTTAATAATACTTCGGAAAGTATAAAGCTCATATAAAATGTATAAGACTAAGTATTTTCTTTTTAAACAAAAAATAAAGTTTTGTTGCATAATTTAAAAATAAGAATATTTTTATCTAATTTAAATAAACAAGTTTACCATATAAGAAAACAAAAACGCAGTTGTTTTATTACAGTTTTATTGTTGAAATTCTAACGATACGCCGTCAATGACAGTCGTTAACGTTAAAAATATTGGCAACCTTTTTTTTTTAAATCTTCAAGTATACAGCTAATTTTATGTAAAAAAAAATTTAAAAAAAAAAGTTAAATTACGGAGGAAAATTTTATATTTATTTTTAGGCTAACCGCTTTCTTACATAAGTAAGTAACCATGTGATACTTGAGTACCCTAATTATCTTAAATCACAATTGTGCCGTAAATAAAAGTACTGAATATTTAGATATATGGGAAGTGATAGATTTAGATTTTAGATCGTAAGTCACATGATGAGGAAAGAAAAACACGATCTCTTGAAAACTATCAAGATATCTAAAAAAAAGTTACAGTAATTCTTTGCTGAATATAGAGAATCACATGAACAGCTGAACAGTAAAAATGTCCTTTGTGGACGATCAAGCAGACACATATGTAGGGTCATTCCCCAAAGGGTTTGGTTATAGACCTGAAGAGACTGACATTGATGGAGCAGTGAGTCCTGGGGATGAGAAGCCAAGGATTTTGTTAATGGGTCTTAGAAGAAGTGGCACGTCATCAATACAACAAAAGGTTGTCTTCCATAAAGTGTCACCTAATGAGACTTTGTTCCTGGAGAGTACCAATAAAATTGTCAAAGATGATATTTCCAATTTATCATTTGTCCAGTTTCACATCTGGGATATTCCTGGCCAAATTGATTTCTTCGATGCTGCCTTCGACTCAGAGTATATCTTTGGTGGATGTGGCGCCCTAATTTTTGTTATTGATGCTCAAGATGACTACATGGAAGCATTATCCTGGTTAAAAATGGCAGTGAGCCGTGCCCACAAAATTAATGAGAATATAAAATTTGAAGTGTTTATCCACAAAGTGGATGGGCTGTCTGATGACAACAAGATAGAAACACAGAGAGACATTCTGCAGAGAGCAACAGATGAGCTAGCAGACGCGGGGATGGATAATATCAGACTAAGTTTTCACTTAACCAGCATCTACGAGCATTCAATATTTGAAGCCTTCAGCAAGGTTGTGCAGAAGCTGATCCCCTAGTTGGCTGTCATGGAGAACAAGTTGGACATTGTCATCTCTAACTCGAAAAGTGAGAAGGCCTTCCTCTTTGATGTCGTTAGTAAAATTTACATCGCCACAGACAGTTCACCAGTTGATATGCGATGTTACGAACTGTGCTGCGATATGGTTGACGTTGCAATTGATATTTCTTGTACATACGGTGCTCGTGATGATGGTGTATTTGACAATGAGTCGGCTTCATTTATCACACTAAACTCCAGTACAGTGTTGTTTCTTCGGGAGGTCAACCGGCATGTGTGTAAAGCAACAGAATGTTTTTCTTCACCATGTTTTTCATAAACTTAGTCAGCTGAACAGTAAATTCTGCTGATGTTTAATTTATAACTTGCGTTTTGTTTTTATGCTGAGTGAGTATGCTTGTTTTTTTGTTGTTGTTTTTCATGTTTACTCTAGGTTTGTGCCCTATTTTTATCCAGTTTCTTGAAAAAAAGTTTGTTTTAAATGTCTTTAAATAAGAAAACATTGGAAGCTTGTAAGATCGAGATGTGATTTATTGAAGTTTGTTTTTTAATTAAGAGGAATCACTGCATGTTTGATACTTATACAAAGATGAGAATATAAGTACGGTGTTTTAAAAATGGTGAATATTGTGTTGAATGAGTAAGTAAAGTAGCAAGAAATAACATAATTTATATTGTTTTTTAAAAAAAAAATATGATTAAATATGTTCGTTTTCCTGCCTTTTCGTCAATACACCACTGAAAAGATCAAGTTCTTAAAAACCAACCATTGACACTTTGAGACGTAAAAACGATGATTTCTATTGACCTGTTTGAGTTCAGCCAAAAACCACATCACTCTAGTGGGTGATGGGTTTGTAGACAAAAAAAAATCATAAAAAACGTTTTAATAACAAGCTTTTATGGACTAATGCACTAAAAAGTAGAAAATAAATTAGAAACTACTATTTAAATAACTATAAAGAAAAGCGTGGGTCACATTAGTATCTATTCGATACCTTTACTAATGTTTAGGGTGTGGGGGGGGGGAGAGGAGGAGCTGGGGTGGAATAAGGTGACAAAGTGTTGCCATTGATCAGAGCTAAATGATAGAGTGGGGTCCAGGAAGTAAGGACCACTTTTTATTTTAAAAAATAATTTTTGAAACTTGCTACTCAGCTGTTAACTCGCTTTTAAAAAAAGTTTTTATAATGTAACCTTTACACCACCGACGCTTTCATGTAAAATGCTAAAGCACAATTCTAAAGCGTTCGAATCCGTTAATTACAGTGATTGAGTAATATTACTTTCATTGACGTAACACGTCTCCGCTGTACTCTGTTTTGGGCAGCCCTCTTTATAAGCCCGGCAACCCTTGCCTCTTCTATTGTCCTTCTCTAGGATTTCCTTGACCTGTCTACTTTCCTCTTCCTCTAGGGATTCCAGTCTAACGCTTCTGATGAAATTAGACTGGTCTAAAATTTAACAAATTATTGGATAAAACATAAAACAACTAAGACTAATACGGGTTGTTGAGTCAATGACATGCAAATAAAGTTTAAACCCGTATTTGCTACTATTATTAGTTTAGCCTGAAGCCTATCTTTATTGAAAACTGCAAGACAACATAATTGTATGTTCCGTGTATAAAGTCAACATTGTTAAAATATCGAATAATTACAATATGATTAAAAAAAGATAACTTCATCTTACTCTATACATTCGTAAGTCGACTAATATGATTTATAACATTACATACCTGATAATTAAAAGTCTATTAAAACCATACGTAACATATAATCGTAAAAAAGCCGTCTTAGTTGCAAAATGAATATAAACATATAGAAAATAAAATTATCATAATTTCTGATAGGGACGTAAATGATTTCTCCCCATCTAACCCTTATGATGTAACAATCTGAGCTAGGTAAATTGTCTTTAGTATAGGGGATATTTTCCTAACAATACAACGAATAATTTCAATGATTGCCTAAGTGCAGTTAATAATCTCCCATATTTAGATATAAATTTGTTAAAGGGAAACTAGAAATATATTCTTGTTAATATATTAATTAATACTTCGGGAAGTGCAATTAATTATATTATGTTAATGAGTTGTTTTTTTTTTTTTGTTAACCAAAAAATTTGTGTTGTTTAATTTAGCATTTGGAGTATTTTAATTTTTAAGTCAATAAACAAGGTGACTAAATACGAAAAAAAAGTCGTTGTTTTATTGCATTTTTATCTTTTTAAATTAATACGAGACGCCTTTGTAGGTATTTCTAAATAAACTCTAGGCAAGACACTTAAAAATTTTTTAAAATACTAGTCAACAGCCACAACAAAACAATAGGGTTTTATTTTGTTTCTTTATCTAGTAAAATAACAAATATTAACTCCTTTATTATAACAAACTTTGTGCATGCAATGAGGGTAAGAAATATTAAAACACACGTTCTTCTTTTAATAAAAGCTTTTGACGCTAAAATATGTAATTTCCCATTTCCCATTATAGCATTTATTTTGGTAATCAAACATTTTTATTAAAAACAGTTCGTCAGCCAAGAATCGAACCCGGATCGACTGCTTGGAAGACCCCATGCTGACCTTTACACCACGACACTATGGGAAAAGATAATTTCTAATGCGCAAATTTGGGAATACAACCTTCTGATCATTTGTTGACGGTGACTGAGTATTTCTTCATTTGACGTCACACACCTTGAAGTCTAGTTGAAGTGTACGTACGACTACAGCCATTGAACAACTAGAAATAGAACAGTGGTTAGCTTAGGTATGACATCATTTTATGGAAGGTGTGGGGGGGGGCAACTTTCGGACTTTCAGTCTATGTGATAACTGGTACATTGATTATATTATATATCTTAGGATCATTCAAATTTAAAATAAAAATCTACTATTCACGACTCTGTAAAAGTAAAAAAAGTAACAACTGAAACTTGAGACAGCCGGGAATCGAACCCGGTTCGACTGCTTTGAAGGCATATAATAACTGCCTCCGATTTTGTTCAAAATCCAATGGGTGAGTACAGACCTAAAGCTGTATAATCAGTAGTAGACAGTGAATGATTTGAAGATTTACTTCGTCAAAAAACTACGTCACATTTTGTGGGAGGTATTTAAACTAAAAAAATTACTATTAACGACTTTTGTAAAAGTAAAAATAAAGTAACAAATAGAACTTGCGTCAGCCGGAAATCGAACCCGTATCGACTGCTTGGAAGGCCACCATGCTGACCTTTACACCACCGACACCGATACATACACCAACTTAGATTTATTTAAAACTCCGATCGGACAGTGGTTGAATCGACGGTGATTGATTTGAAGATGGACCTGCTTGGTGTCACAAGTCAGTGGAAAGCCCAACCAGCTCTGATGGGTACCTGACTCACGATAAGGAAACTAAAGGCGGCTGTGCATAGTACTGACCACATTATCCCTACATCTGATGTCAAGAAAAATGAACTCTACTTTATCTGCCCAAAGATCGTTTGATCTAAAAGGGGTCGGCGTGGTCGAGTCGGTAAAGCTCATGGTTGCTAAACAGTAAATTCTCGAGTACGAACCCTCGGACAGATGAGGCTCGTTAGCTGGGGACAGCCACTCTTCTAGGAGAAAAAACTCCAAAATCAAACAACTGCTGCCTTGTAGTTTGTTCTTGGTTGGACAAAGGCTATGGAAGTAAATCCAAAAAGAAAAGCAGGCTGAAATCGGAGTCAATGGCCTCTACGGTTGATAAATTCGAAAAAAAAAGTCTCGAGTTCAAACCCTCTGGCAGATAAGGCTCCCCTCCCAACACTAAAAATTAAGAACGAAGAAGAAGAAAGAAGAAGTTTGATCTAAAGAGGAATATTACCCAAAAATAAATCTTTTAAAATGTAATAACAATAATTTTAAAAAGTAAAACATGCGACTTGAATAAAATAAGGCACTGCATTTAAAAACCAATGTAGATTTTTGTCCTTAGTATTAAAATTTAAATCAACAATATTTTAATAGGGAAACCGAACAATTCTATTTTAAAATCTTACGTAACATATACTCGTAAATAATTCGGGGTTCGTTACAAAATGAAAATAAAAATATAGACAATGAAATTATAATAATTTATGATAGGGACTTAAATGATTTCTTAAAATATCTGCGAACGAGAACATAAGACATCACCCCATCTAACCCTTATGATGTAACAATCTAAGCGGGGTAAATTGTCTTGAGTGTAGGCCAGGGGTCGGCAACCTTTTGAGACGGAAGAGCCAAAAGTTACAATTTAAAAAATTTCCCAGTTTTTAAAGAGCCACTAACATTATTTTTTTTTCAATATTTTGCTATTTCTTATATGGATTAGATAAATAAATTTGATTTTTGATTTGAGATAAATAGCGTTAAATATGAACTTATTGTTTCATATAAAAACAAACAAATGTTTTGCACAAAAACTGTTTTAGCTAGATCTGCTATGATAAAAGAAGTAATCACATAATATAACTATATGACTATCCCAATACACTTTAGAAGCCAAAAACTTATTTTTCTTTCTTTATGGACACCGCTGGTCCAGTAGGTATCTTTCATAGCCAGGCAGGCGTTAACATGGCAAACTCTAACAGTTTGATTACTGTATCGGTCGCTTCTGTCTTTGGTTCTCACAAGGCTTATCTTTCACCCTACTCAACCCAGAGTCCAGTACCTTGCTCAACTGTATGAAACTAATAACTAAAATACTACGTCACTCGGGTCAAATTAATGCATACTGACAGGTAGAGGAATGCATTCTCTATAAAATAACATTCCCCATTTAACAATATTCGAAAACGTCGGCACTTCGACAGTGACAAAAATCGAATAGTCGCCACGGTGCTAGCTACAGCATAGCTGTGGGGCTGGGCCTGGTGCCCAAGCGGCTGTCGTATAATTTCTACCTTACCTATTCTCACTGTTCTCTGATGAGTGTTTTAATCCTGTTTAAAGTTGTTTTTCTTTAAGGTATAATATTTTTTATGAGATTTGAACATGAAATAATATAACTATTAATATGTGTGCATTGAACTCGAGAGCCGCAACCTTGACATCAAAAGAGCCGCCTGCGGCTCGCGAACCTCAGGTTGCCGACCCCTGGTGTAGGCGATATTTTCCTGACAGCACAACAAAAAATTTCATAAATTGTCTAACTAAGAGCAGGTAATTATCTCCCATATTATAATATAACATTGTTAAAGGGAAAATGAAAATTATTCTTGGTAATATTTAATTAATACTTCGGAAAATACAATGCTTGTATAAAGTTTAAGTATTTTTTTTTATCAAAAAAAAAAA